AAATGTATCTTTTTAACAATGTGGTGCACATTACGAGGGAGGGAAGGGCGTGTAGTTACAAGGGGCGGTACAGGCACGAGCGAGAGGACCAGCGGAGGAGACTGGACGAGTGAACGGGCGGGAAATCTGAATATTCACGTGTTATGACGGCGCCGTCGTTTTCACGGTTTATTCGTCTTATTACGGGCACGTATGTGTCGCTTGCGAGGCGTGAGGTGAGAGGTGTGTTACCCAACAGCCGTTCACTCGCTCTCGCTCGGGCCGTGCTCGCGCCAGAGAGAGGTAATGAACACACGCTCGTTTCCTTGTTTGACGACGCCCCGGCCGCCGGTCTTCCCTCCAGTGCGACAGAGAGCACGCGGCCGGTGCAGTGGGCGCGCGGCCAGCGAGGCGGCGTTGAGGCTCAGCTCAGCCGTCAAGCTCAGCCGCGGGACCGACCGACCGGCGTCCAAGGGAGCGTTTCAAGGCGATTAGTAAACTTGAGTTGTTGTGCGTCGCCGCCCATCGCCGCAGACGTTGTCGTCGACGCACAGGCGCCCTTGCACTTTCAGCCGCGCAAGGTCACCGCCGCTCCGGATCGAATGATGAATGGAGGAAAGTCCCTCGCCGTAGCGACGCCCGTGGTGGACAAGTGTGTGCGGTTACCGCACTGCTCTCATTCATCACCACGCGTTACTGTTATTATTGAATAACAATTACTTCGCCTTCCCGAAGACCTTTTTCTCAACGGGTTACGTGGTGCCGTGACGTGCCCTCGAGACCCCACACTTCTCCGTACCTTTGAAGATTAAAAACCAATTTTAGGCGGGCCGTGGGCGCCACGCTACACACCTCGCGCGTAATGGAGCACTGTTAAGCATTTCGGACGTTTAAGTTCTCAACGGCTGTAGCTAACTACTCTAAAAACATAAGTGTGTGACATTCAAAAACTGAAGAGTGCATGCCAAAACGCCACACGTTAAAGTCTGCCAGCAGCCATGTCACACATAATCTTCTGCATCGCACGAGTAAACGCTTTTTACTGGATTATTCACGCAGTTTTCTGTGCATATAACAGTGTCGCCACTGTTTTGTGTGGGGAACGCAGAACGCACTTCTCAGCAAAGGGGTGGTCAGTCATGCGAAATGTGTACAATGATTTTACGGAAAGTGACTTTTTTTTTTGACTTTTTTGTGACTTTTTTGTGACTTTTTTGTGACTTTTTTTGGGGGTTGTACAATGATTTTTCGAAGTGATCCCCCCCTCGCTTCTAAGTGTTCGAACGTCGCACACTTGTGTTTGTGGATTGGCCTTGTCATTTCCAGGCAGCTAGCCACGACGTTACTATAAAAGTTAAGAGCGAAACCTTATTGGTAAGAACGGAGGGTCGACCTACGTGGCAGTTCCTTCAAAATTGCGGAGGCTAGGCGCCTGCGAGACGCAGGGTAGGCCACGCCGCAGTACACGCATGCACTTCAGGCGAGATATTGCCTACCACCAGGCGCTAAGAGAGCTTGCAGTGGCTGAACTGAGGTTCGTAACGGTGAATGACGGACGCACTTTCCAGCAGAATTTGGTGACGAACCACACCTGATTCACGATTCTGATTGCTTTGATACCGAATCTATTAAAATTCGTCACCGAATTGTATCAGAGCAGATTCGATCCGATTTTGAACGATTCACACACGCACAGCAAACCCACAGAACTAGTTTCTCAACCTGCTTCCTCCGAGCAACTCCCATTGCAGCGGCGGCATCGGCTCACAGGCAAATTGAGAGACGACTGAAGGCGCGCGACACGGGGGCGAGGCTAACTGGCCAACGCTCGCATCGCACGCACGTTTAATTGCACTTTTCAGACGCTCTTCTCTGCCTTGCTGGACAGCCTCCCTGGCCCTGGTCCGCCGCGTGCCTTCGTCCTCTGCCGCCCCTATTAACGTTTTACGACGTTTAAACGAGAATACCTAACGGTGTACACACACAGATCCCCACCCGAACACGCCCTAGCACGGCGCGTCCGCCGACCAGCACAGGCAACGATCTTCCTATCTTCCGAATTTCTACAAATTACAAGGAAATGTACTCATATAGAACATGCAAAATTTATGTCAAGCTTTAAGAGGTTTCAAAACAAGACTTTTCAGTTGGGGTTGACATTTTTCATGACACTTTATTACACATAACAGCACGGAAGTCAACGTATCACGTGAGCATCAACTTATTTGTAGAAAACTGGTACAAAAATATCCTATAAACTGTACCGTGAGTCATGGCTACGACACAGCAATGTTGCGAATTTTCCTACCCCAACCTTCCCTTCCGCGTGGAGCAAGTGGGCAAGCCCGTATCGCATACTGCAGTTTTTTTCGTAGCCCTCACTTACGGTACAATACCTTAAAAGTACACATACAATGCAACAAATTGGGATTTGACCATGTAGAAATTACGTCCAGAATTGTGTGTATTACTTGCAACTTACGGAAAATGTTTATCACAACTAGCGTAAACGTATTGACTAATACAGACTACGTTATTTATGGAATGTGGCAAGGCAAATATTGTGAGACTGAGCGCCCCAATAGGAGAGCCGCAAAAATGTCTACACGTTGTTAAATTAAGGGCAACGACTGGGTGCGTTTCTTTCCTTTCACACTTGTTAAGCAAGACAGCCCGTCCTCTTCACGGTAAAATTGACATCTTGTATTTCAAGCAATCTACTTGGTTTTCAAGACAATTTTTAAGGAATCTACTTGGATTCCAAGACCTTCTTTTTACCGTGTTTTCCAAGCTTAACTGTGCACAAGTCGAAAGCACTTACAGGTACTTCAAAGTCTCAAACAAACACAGCTCGTACATTTTTTTCAAGCACATTAAGTGTTGGACACACATGATACGTACATGCTGCCCCATAAAAATTAAATTCTATTTGACTCTTACAATGTGGGGAGTAAGTATTCTCGTTACAAATCATTTACAAAATGGCGAAAAAGCGCTTCCAGAATAATCAGAAATGTTCTTCTTCTTGCTCCTCACAATTTTTAGGAAATTACCGAAAACTTATTATCAATTTAGATTTTGCAAAGAGAACAAGTAATTATTGAAATTTACGACAGGACTTCTGTTTTATTTCCATTTTGTGACACTGACAAATTTGACAACTTTGTCACTAAACTAGTGCGCACAATACTTGTACATATGTTAAACATCCCACATTCTAAACTAAGACTTTAATAACAAATTTGGTCCAAGATAGTAAAGCCTGAACTTAGATTGCAAGTCGTTACATGTGTGTACCTATACAGGAGTGGAAACCACTCGGACTAAAACGCTACCAACTTAATAATTTATTGAAGTCAAAGCACACTGCGCTTTGAGTACAGATGACATCTTACTACGATTTTTTCAGTCTGGTAGTGCAGTGTCCTCTGGCGCACTTTTATGACTTTTACTAGTTTTCATATGAATATTCAAATCGCTCTTTCGAAGAAACGTTTTTGGACACAACGTGCACTTAAATGGCCTTCCCCCAGTATGTCTAAGACGATGGACAATCAAGGAAGCCTTCAAACTGAAAGTTTTGTGACACTCTTCGCACTCATGTCTTTCCCCTGAGTGGCATTCCGAATGGGTTTTCAGGTACGAGCTTGTGGCAAACTTTTTGTGGCAAATTTCACACTCAAAAGGCTTATCTCCAGTGTGATATTGAACATGGCGTCGAAGAGACGCATAAATCGAAAATTTCCTAGAGCAAACGGAGCACTCGAATGGCTTCTCGCCCGTGTGAGTCCGCATGTGCTTCTTGAGGGAGTCTGACTTGGGAAACGACTTGTCACACTCGGTGCACTCGTAAGTCTTAGTCACCTTTGAGTGAGTTATTCTGAGGTGCATCCTCATTGAGCTGCCTTGGGTAAATTTTTGGTGACACTCGGGGCATTCGAAAGGCTTCTCTCCCGAGTGCCTCCGCATGTGCTTTTTTAAGGAGTCAGATTTAGAGAATGCCTTGTAGCACTCGGGGCACTGGTATTCCTTGACCGACGATAGCGCTCGGGTAGTCGAAAGATCTAACGCCCCAATCTCTTCCTTTGTGTGGGTTTTCAGATGCGAGTAGAGGTAGCTCGTGTGGGAGAACCTCCTGTGGCAGACACCGCACTCGATGAGCTTCTTCCCTGACGAGCTGGCCCCTACGCCACTGGACGGCCCTGCCCCGACTTCAGCCGCATGCTCGGCCACATCGTCGACCCCGCAAGCGGCCCCGTCTGCGGCCCCGTCCTTGGCCTCATCCTCGGCCACGTCCTCAGCCTCGGACACGGACTCGATCTTGCACTCGACTGGCAGGCAGTCTAGGCCGGCGTCAGAGTCAGAGTCCGAGTCGCGCTCGCCGCGGCACTGCGGACACCCATCCTCCCGCGGCCGCTCCGCCCCGCAGGCCTGGCAGGGGAGCGGCATGGCCCTGCCTCGGCAGCCTCGGCCCTGACAGCCGACCTGCAAGACGGAAAGCAGGAGGTTTACTTCGGTACGCGGCACAACGTGCAAACATACTGCACCCCTCATCCTTCATTACTAATACTAATGCACTTATGTTTTCAGGCCAGCCCAATTTTTAAAAAGAAATGGGTGTATCCAGGTCCTCCACACACAGCGAGACACAGTGCGGGGGAAGACAATGAGACATGAAAATCATCATCATCCTCTCTCCTGACTAAACTCTTCGTGATGATGCACCAAGTCGCGAGATGAGTTCCAGAACAAAATCGAGGGCTAGCATTTCCCAGCAGTGCGCATGGCCACCGCGTCTCCACACGTACCCTAAGCGTGTTAAAAGCAGCAACAGGCAGAGTACAACAGGGTGCATCGAAAAAGTTTCCTCACGAGAGCGCACAAAAGAAAGGCGATGCATTAGTTCGCGCGCTCGCATGCCAAGTAGAGCCCTGCCTGCACCGCTCCTGCCCATAGGCTTCTTGGCGTCCGAAAGCGGATGCAAGCGGAGTGGGATGCTCGGCCATTGATCCCTCTCACTCTCTGTCGTTTTGGAGGCGCCAAGTCCGATCCGCGCCCGGTGCAGGGCTCTGCTGCCTGCCGCTGCAGTGCCAGTGTCTCTAGGCGCCGCGCGCAGAGGAGAGGCGCATCCCGCATGCGTTCTGGAGCGTGGCATACTATAGGGCCTGGCCTGGCGCAGAGGAAGGGTTACGGCACAGGGTGCGTCACGCCAAGGTTGCACCCGCCACTCCCTCTCACACACGGCGCGAGAGGGAGGCGAGACAAGGACGGGCGCACGGAACATTTCAGCCCCGGTCCAATCTAGGTACGGACTTGCTCCAGACACTGTGAAAGATATCCTCGTAAATTTACAACATTTATTTTTGCAATTTTGATGTTGTCAACTTACGAGTGCCGATTCTTGCTAGTTCCAAGTCGATAGGAAGTGCTTGTAATTTTACAATTTTGAATTGTAATTTACGATACACATCAGGGAAAATGATTCTGTAAAACCTACAACTGCTTTTCACAGTGTACTGATCCAGAGGAAAGCCGTTGCCTTGCTTCCCTCCACTATAACTTAACGCCCTTACACATTTTCGTGTCTCGTTATTCATCTGCGACTCTGCCCTTAATGAAGACGAC